CGAGGTATGGCAGCAGAAACTCAGCAACAGCCAAGTCCTTGACCTTGATAGTGCGACACAATGGTTCGAAGATGAGATCCGCGTGCCCATTTTGCCCCTTGCCCAAGAGATCCATGCTGAATGAACGCATCCAGTTGCCGTAGGGCTTTCCCGGGCGGAAGATAGGATACTCAACTGGGACCACGTTCATAGGTGTCAAAAGATATCTGGAGGTAAGGAAAGGTGTCAAGACAGTGCGGTCACTCTCCGATAGTGTTAGCCATTTTCTGTAGATGACACCACCATCCCGCATTCCGGTTCCTTTCATAGCCAGTGCAGCCTTGATATCCACCCGGTCGAGCAGCTCCTGCATGGCAAAGGAAAGGAAACCTTGGAGTTTGGTGTCTGTAGTGGACAAGAAAGCTTTGACGAGGATCTGTCCCAAGATGAACAACACGAAGTCTGTCGTCTCGTCTGCACTCTCAAAGTTGCTCAAAATGACCATCGACTGTTGCTCTCGCGGTGCTTCCACTCTATTAGAGTCGAGGCAGCCCACCAGGCCAATGCATTGAGTGCAAAGACTGGCAATTTCAAGCTGGTGCATAGCACTATACTTTGCTGCACAGTCTAGCAAGGCTCGAATCAACATGGGTACGACCGGGTCAGGCTGTTGGCTGATGGCTGAAGTCTGGAGGAAGCCTCCACTCTGTCTGAGGTAGACCTCGAGTTCGGTCAGTGCCAGTAATACGACACCCGAGTTCTCGTGAGACGTGCGCTCGGCAAAGAGGGCAAATGCCGTCCTGCTGTCTAGGACTGGACGCGCCGCGTTGAGCTCCTTTTCGACATCTGCCAACTCTGTGATGTGACCCAAAGAAGGTAGCTTGGTGATGTAGTCATTAAGGCTGTCACTGAATTCCGTGATCAACTTCTGAATCAAATTCTTGGCCATTTGTCGAGAGGATTCACTAAAGAGCGGCCAGTAGTGGCTGATGACGAAGAATGTAGTCTCGATCAAGACCTCGACGTCTTCAGGCTCGAGACATGTAAGCAGAGCCGCCCAGCAAGAGAATGCGGCTTCTCTGAGATCATCCTGAGCGAGGGATGACAGAAGACATGCGGCAATCTAGAACAATTAGTATGAGGCACATATTTAGAGTCAATCATTACTCACCTGTGGGCGTGCAATCCGAACATAGGCTTTGCAATGTCTGATCATCTCCTCCAAGGCACGTATGCAGCGTCTCTGTTCTTCGGCTGGAGGAAAGACAAGTGGCATGTCATTGATAACATCCGCAAGGCGAGCCATGAGACCAAGAATATACGATTGTAAATATCTCCCAATCGTGTTGCCCTTCTTTGGCTTTGACTCTTTGTTTGCGACCATCATCATTGAACAGAAGGATGCCAATGCCTCGATTATCTGACACGAGTCAGCGAACTGAGTGCTTTTGGCAAAGGCGATGTACTCACTCGGGGCTTTCGTGCTTCATCCGCCTCCCCAGCAGCCTTGAAAAGCTCTAGCGCGACCGAACAGACTTCGGATTGCACAAGCTCAACCAAAGTAAATGTCTCTAGGTGAGAAGACACCTCAACGAGCCTAGACATAACAAACTTCTCGATATTCCCCACATCTTGAATGAGCAAAAGCGCAATGATCGAGCCAGCATTGGCCGGGTCTAGGATAGGGACCCATATGTCCCTTTCTCCTCGCGCTTCGGCGATTTTCTGAATCACCTCCTTCTTTTTCATTAATACCAGCCAAGGTAAGGCATGGGACTGGATAAGTAGCAGAAATTCGGTGACGGATATCTGCAACAGGTCGGCAATGGCGCGGCAAATTTGCGGCCGAGCCTGCATGTCCTTAACAGCGAAGTATGCAAGGTTCCTCCAAAAGGGTTCAAACAAACGACGCGGTGTCGTGTTCAGGGCAGATGCTAGGTTGAGAATCTGGGAGTACATCAGCCTTCGTCTATTATGTCAAAAACCGAGAGATCTACCTCGTTGAAGGCACATGATGCAATCAGACTGTTGATACTACCGAGGTACTCAAGCAACTTGTGCAGAACAAGATTCAGCTCGTCTCCAGTCACGACCCTGAACCCATTAGTATACCATATATGAACAGATCTAGTCGCTGTAGCTTGAAGTACCTACCGTCCAAGTTGGCCCCAGGCCAGGATCCCGCTTTCATGGAATATGGCTGCATCTTTTTCGGAAGCGGCTTTGAGCAGACTAAGTGCATTTTTTCGGTTGCGAATAATCAGAGTCGGGTCAAGCGACTCAAGATTGTTGTCTCTCAGGAACAAAGGAAGAGCACGTCTGCAATCGGTCAGTTGCTATCATTTGCCAGAGGGTATTTTTGGGTTGAAGCGCAACATACCCAGAAGCGATTCTGAGCTCTCTGATAGAGCTATGCAAGTTTTGCAAACACCATTGGCCCAGAGGAGAGGTTTCGAGGTCAATGAGTTCTGTAACGTCAGCGTGGTTGATAATACGTCTGGCTGAGATCATCGCGACGATCCTCGGGCGCTTTGACTCCTTGAAGTTGGGTAGATGAATGAGCTTCGTAAAGATAGATTGGGCCTCCCTTTTTTCCGCGGCTGTTGTCACATTGAGGGTTCGAGAGCCTCTATATTTATCATCGCAGAACGTGCATCCTATACTGTTGTGATTCCCTATGCTTGCACCGCCGTCAACAACTGTTGCCAAGTCCACTGCACAACATATGCGGGCCACCAGGTCGATAGCTCGACACTGATTATTTTCGCTGAGGTCGTTGTACTTGTTCCTATGCATGTGTAAGCTGACAGATCAAATGCAATGAGACAGAGAGACATACAGGAAATTGTGCTCCAGCCCTCCGGCTTCCTCAGCCTCGTCCACTTGACAGACTTCGTAGATACGCTTGATCAACGCTCGGAGTTCAGGAGCCTCTGAAGACACCTTGAGACGCTTTGAAGCGGGTTCTGCATCCTCAGTAGCACGATTTTCTAGACCGAGCTCTTCCACTGCCTGACGCAAGTCGGCGTCGATAAAAGAAGCAGGTTGAGTCTCAGAGTCGAGGGCTTTCGGGACGATGGATCCGGATGTTTGCTTCAGAACTTGAATGGAAAGCTAGAGATATGTTAGTCGCAGCTCGAAACGGTGTCACGGCTATTACCTACTATGAAATCGTGGGCATCGCTTATTGTCGCGAGTGAAGGGATCTCGTACTCCAAAGGGCAGACAATCTTCGGTGCTGTTAGTCTGCCGATTTCTCTATCTACGAGCGACGCATGCGCCAGCCGGATGAGCGCCAGCGAGACCGTCTTCCTCGCTGCCGCGCTCGAGTCATCTGTCCCCTGTATCTCTTCGGGATGTGCTGCGAGCTCAGCGCAGAGTACTGCTAGCACAGCGTATGGCTTTTTTAAGTCGAAAAATTTCTTGCCAGGACGTGGCTTATTAGAGAGCAGGTTCAGAGCAATTTTGAGCAAGTCGGCTCGAGGCCTTGGCACAATCGCCTGCCATGCGTTCTGTACAGCACGAAGGGAAAGCAAAGAATCAAGAAGCCACGGTGCCATCTGAGACAATGTTGGTCGTGACACGAGACTCGGAGTTTTGAAGATTGAGGGGTGCGCCAAGGCCGAAGTCAGCGTCGTTGCCTGATGTATGCACTGAGAGACATGCTGGACGGTATATGTGGTCTGTTGGACAAAGAGGGTGCCAGGCTTTCCTAACAAGAGCTCCAGTGTACTATCCGAAGGCAATGTCATGTTTACAGAAGCGTCTTTTCCGGTTGAACTCGGTGCCATATTTTGCAAGTGACTTATGAGAGCTGCCAGAGTTAGTGGTTGGATCTTGAGACTGAACTGATGTCCGAAACTCACCCCTACTGGTCTCGCGCAAGTACAGTAACATGGACGGGAGAAGTTTCCACATTGATCCCGTACGAATAACCACGAGAATCACAAATTGGAAGAACCCCTCAAAGTCTCCCGTCAGCTCGAGGCAGCGAGAGTGGCCCAGTAACCGAAGGATCTTTGGGAAGACCCAAATCCAAAGAGGCTCCTCCCCGCGAAAAACGAATTGTTTCCCATCTGTAGTATGGTTCAAGACATTCGGTGTCTCCTCGATTGTGACCTTCAAGAAGTTTATGGCCTTCAGCGCCTCGTTTCGCATGTGATTTCGGTCGGCAAACGGATCGTCGAGCTTGATTCCTTCGAGGACAACGCGGGCGTAGACGTAGATGAGCATATGATTGTGATCCGTCCTCTGCTCGGCAGTCTCTAGCAGTTCAGGCTTGTTTTTGACCTTCTCGATTACGGCAAATAGCCTCTTCAGCTCGGCGTTTTCATCGGATCGCGTGGACTTGGACGAAGCCGAAATATTCTCGACCAATTGTGCGGCAAGCGTAGAGGGAGGCGGCGCGTTGGGAGCGGCAGCGGCAGCCGGCCTGCCATTGTGATTTGCAGCCATGGCTCCGTCCTCATCGTATGGCCAGAGGACGTTAAGCTGGTGCAAAGTCGCAGTCGGCCACTGCTTGAAGGATCATTACCCTCAGGTTGGATGTCCAGAGCTTGACGCGCCTGCGGGGGTGGGCCATCTATCGGATGCGCGCCGGACAAGGCGCGAGGTCACATGTTCAATTAACGTTGCTTATGTAACGAATCCTGGCCCGTGCTCTGGCTCCCTGATTCTCAGGATGCCTTCAACTTCAGGGTGACCGTCCATCCTCGTCGTTGAATGGAACGGTTGATGACAGCTTGCGCGCCAACTTGCGTCTTTACCGCCAAGTTCGGCTTCGGGAAGATTTTCAAACATTTCATTGCCTGCATACATGAATGGCGTGATTACAAATGCAATTAGTCGTTCCCCTACATAAGGGACCTTGATCTCATCTTGCTGCTTACATCGTTCATAACTTGCCTTAAATATAAGTGATCGCCAACTAATCCTCTCCTAATTCTTCAAAGTTGATCAATCATCCATTCTGGCAGCTCAGGAGTGTTTCGATCGAATCATTGCTCCGTCTACCTTTCATCATGAACATCGCCCTCAAGGACGCAATGCCAGAGGCCCTCCTCGTCCAGAGCGCTCCAAAAAGCCCATCATCGGTCATGGAGATGCTCCCATTGAAGTCACCAGCAAGCACATCGAAGCAAAGCACTTCATCGCAGAAGCCCATTTCCCCTCCAAATGATGAAGTCCCAACAGCAACGGAAGCAGAGCCCCCTCAAGGTTCCCCATCCCGCAACGTCTCCGTAGCAAAGAGCGTCACCGTAATCGTCACCCTCGCCGGCATAAACTTCCTCAACACAATGGGCTCCGGCATCCTCATCGCCGCCCTCCCGCGCATAGCCCAAGACGTCGGCCTCGACGAGAGCCTCATTCTCTGGCCCGCCGCCGTTTACAATCTCGCCGCTGGCTGCCTCCTCCTCATCTTTGGCGCCGTCGCCGACGTCGTGGGCGCCAAGCTCATGTGGCTGATGGGAAGCTACCTCTGCGTCGTCTTCACCATCGCCGTCGGCCTGTCCCAGACGGGGATCCAAATTATTCTCTTCCGCACCGCCGTCGGCGTCTCTATTTCAGCATGCTTGCCCACGGCTATGGCGTTTATTACAAAGACTTTCCCCAAGGGCGGATGGCGCAATGTCGCGTTTTCGATGAATGGGATTGGGTTCCCGCTGGGGTACGCGCTTGGGCTGGTCCTGGGTGGCATCTTTACCGACACCATCGGTTGGCGTTGGGCGTACTACATGATGGCCGTTATCAACTTTGCTCTGTCGACCGCGGCGGTCTGGTCTCTGCCTTCGATTCGCCAGCCGTCTGAGAAGAAGTGGACGCGCCGCTTGGCGGAGGATATCGACTGGATAGGAGCCGTCATCATGAGCGTTGCGCTGGGTTTGTTACTCTATGTGCTGGCGATGACTACTTCTTCGTACACAAAGATTGCTGATCCTACTAATATTGCCCTCCTGACCGTAGCAGTAGCCTTGCTGGTCGCGTTCCCCGTCTGGATGAACCTTCAGACTAAAAGGGGTCGTCCAGCGTTGATACCGAATCGTCTATGGCGGAACGCTGCCTTCACGTCGATATGTGTAAGTGGATTTCCGAGCAGAAAGAAGTGACATGCCTCTAACATATCGCCAGGTGTCCATCTTCCTATGTTGGGCCTCTCTCAACGCGATTCAATACTTCATCATGCTATAGTCAGTGCTGTGTCGCGGAGCCCAAGAATTCCCAATGCTAACACCGTCAAAAAGTTTCCAAAAGGTCCAGGGCATCTCCGCGTTGCAAAGCTCTCTGCGATTCCTGCCTCATGTCGTCATGGGCACTCTCGTCAACATCGCAGCAGCATGGCTCGTCTCACAAATAAAGGTCCAGACTCTGGGCGCCGTATCTGCAGTCATAACAGCCGCGGCGCCGATCCTCATGGCCACAATCAGCCTCGATGGAAATTACTGGTTTGCGCCGTTCTGGGCCATGGTGCTTTCGCCAGTGAATGCTGATGGTGTGTTGACCCGTCTCCCCTTTCCATGGCATGCTTAAAATCTCCAAGACACTAACTTAAAACCCCCAATAGCCCTCTTCACCGTCTCGAACCTAATCATCTCCGACGCCTTCCCAGCAGACGTGCAATCACTCGCCGGCGGCGTCTTCAGCGAGATCGGGCAGATCGGTAACGCGGTGGGCCTCGCCGTGACTGCAGCCATCGCGGCCTCCGTAACCGAGCACTCGGCTGTCGTTCACGACGATGCCCGGGAGGCGCGCATGGAAGGTTACCGCGCGGCATTCTGGACTATCTTTGCCGCCACGGTTGCGGTGCTCATTATTGTGGTCGGAGGGCTTCGAAAGGGTGGCACGGTCGGGAAGAAGGATGACTAGATGATGCTACTGCTAGACATCCCTCAGGTACCTAGCGTGAGAATTCCTGGAAAACGGCTGCACTTGGGATTTGGAGGGGGCACCGCCGTTGCCGCCGTCTAATACGGCAATGTATGCATGCCCTGGGCCGACAATCTCTCAAATTAGCAACTTGCGCAGATAAATCTCAGTCATCGTAATGTAAATTCAGGAAAGCAAGCACTTTGGGCCGTCCTGGCAACTTCGTCACGCTTACTGAACGACCTGGAAGGCGGGAAAGAAATAGCAATCACGCGCGGTCAATGCAATGATGCGGCTGTATATGCATCATGAGTACATTCGTGGTGCGACGAGCAATAATTGAACTGCCATTACGATCAATACCTCAATAATGCCTTCGCGTCGACCGGCCAGCTTGGGCTGATGCCCCTTTTAATCCGATGTCGACCCAGCGGAAGGGTTTGAGTTTTCGCGGGAAATCAGACGACTAAACCCAACTGATGGTTGACATGGACAAGCTACTTAAGGTAACTAACAGTTGTCAAGTGATGAGTTGTTCGAAAAAGCCAAGATAAACGGTACGCGGCCCATGCCTTGGCTGAACCCAAGACTTGAGCACTCTTCAAGCGAGCGCCATATTATGTGGCCTGGTGTAGGCAAGTCTGCGCAAAGATTAGTACAAACCCCCAGGGTTTATTGTAATGGTCCCACGATTCTATGGGAATTGAGAGGATCCGGGGCCGATCCCGTGCCGAGTTCCTTTGCTTTCGCAGAGACATGGGATTGCTGACGGCATACTGACATTATCGTGAACCGGACCCATTCTTGCCTTATGCCCAGGCTCTAAGATTAATGGGAATGTCAGAGGTGGTTTGATAGAACGTTTGTTTATGACGATCGTTTCGCGGGCCGCGCGAATCCGACTCAATCTGGATTTACTACGTAGAAATGAAAATAGAAACTCGAAGTAGGTAGTTGAAATGCGGTGCTAATGCGACACCCTCCCAGAGACTTCTGAGTTTGATAGCCCCGGCGGTTTATGGCTCTTGGCAGCTTGCGCAGCGGCAACGTCGATCTGGTGGTTTCGTTTCCCCCTCTTGGGCCTTCAGGGCGTAGGTAAACTTGGCTATTACCGTTTACCTCACACACCCTCTTGCGGCATTCAGAGGAAAGCGACGATCAGTTGGAGAAACCGCTCCGTTGGTGCATGCACATGCTAGCATGCTGGGCCGCCCCAGACCCTTTTTCTCTGCCTCTCCTTGCAAGGTGATTCTGATAAGGATCAAAGATTGGTCGCGTGAGAGTGTATTGTGTCGTGTGCTCATGTGCCACACGTCCAGACCCGTGTTCAAGCCACTATCTCTCAGAAACCTGGATTGGGGTTGCATCTGGCGGTGTTGTCGATGTACCATCAAGTGAAACACTTACCGTACTGTGTAGGTGTGGCTGCGGTGGTGGAGTGTCCAGGCTTTGATTCGTCGACCGGTTTGGACTCGAAAGTACAGCTTCACATGTCTCCTGCATACAAAATAGGCATAGGTATAGCATTGCGGCGACTGGAAGGACTCCATAGTCGTCAAGGTCGACCACAAGAAGTCTAAGCCTTCTTATGCTCCCCGCGAAATGTCCACTTGGCCCTGCACGACAGCATCATATAGTTACCCAGTCGTCAGGATCAAGTCGAAGCACATAGCGTGCGGTCGTCACCCTTAGAACGGACCGAGACGGCAACAAGAAACATTATTTCCGCAAGGTAAGCCGAGATGAGAAGTGAGGAGAATGGCCAGTGAACAAAGCGCGTGCAAGGAGATGTATCCGTGCTTCGTACAGAGTATTCGTAGAAGGTAGGTTGCAAGCAGGTTTTGGATAACAACTGTAGGGCTGCTGGGTGGCTTGGTCGTCATAGTGGATAGGCGGGCTACACGTAGCCCCAGTTAGCAACATGTTGAGGTTTTGGTTGTCTCGCAACCTCCCACACATGAATACTGTCTACAGGTTCTGGGCCGTTGACACGGGCTGGTTTGCGTGACCTAACCACGTTCGGGGCTGGAGAGACAGAGTGATGTTGGTCATTGGGGCCGAGGGATCCTGTTGTCCGTCTCTGGATAGCGGAATCCGTTGATGGGTTTCTTTCTTGTGCCCTTTCAGATCGGGGATTTGGCTCGAGTTGGCGCCTTGGTGGGGTAGCGGCGGGGGACCCGTGTCGTCCCGATGGCTGGGCAAGCTGGCTACTGCGCGGAGCACCTCATTCTGCCGTCGCCTCATCACATCCTCGAATGCTGTCAAGGTGTGATGGCGGGATGGGAAGGTTTGGTTCCTGAAGCATGATTTTGATTACCATGACCCATATTCGGCCTCTTCCCGCTCTGTCTTGGCTGTAAGTTGTAAGTTGTTTGCTGTTGACTGGTGTTACTGGCTCCATGTTTTCTTCCCTTGGGAATATTCCCATTATCGTGAAGCTACCATGGTCTCATTGTAGGGACGATGCCTGTCCTGTTCCCAGATGGCTGGCGTGGTGGACTAACTCGAAGTTGCAACCGCAACCGCTATCGCTCCTCCTTCCTGTCGATTACAGGAGAGACATCAGAGTAAGGTACGTACCGAGTACTCTGGAATACAAATGGAAGGCACGTCGATTTGTCTCCACAAATTTGGAGTCTCTCCGCAGACCGGTGTTTCCCCGCCAAGACTTCCAAAAGCACCTCGCAATCCATCGACTGGCTGGGAAGAACCGCAACGCGAAGAAGGAAACAAAACATCCGTACTCAAGTACCGTGGCAGTAGGTTTCCATCGTCTTATTCCCACGGGCCATATTGCCAGCCAACGCAGCCGTGCGTAAAGCTAGAAATCAACCCCCAAAGAAAGACAACACAGCAACTCACGACGACAGGTATGAGCTACCCCTCTCGGCGGTCTCGGGGGACGTCGGCAACCGGTGGAGATGGAACGAACTAGAGCACTTTCCCACGGCTTTGAGGCTTTCAGAGAACGGGAAAGACGGCGCTGGGCTGGACCTGACCTGGACTGGGCTGTGCTTGCTTCCGCCAGACTGTAAACCGGCCCCATGCCACCCGCAGTCAAACAACCAGACGAACATGGAAGTGGAAGGTTCAAGTGGACCTTCTGTCATTAACCCCGCGCTTACTGACGCCTTCTCCCTTCTCACTTCTTTCTATTCACTCCATATCACTGCCGCAGGCCGAGAATATCCAATCCTGTTAGTCGATACTTGTCAGAATCGTCTGAATTCCACTTGAAAATAATTCCCTCTCTCTAAAATTCCTATCCTTCAAGCCTCCTGAAGCGGGTATTCGTCTATCATCTCCAGCATATGCCTCCACTTAGACCTCGGGGCAATCAATGCCCATGTCTACGGCTTCTTTGCCGGTTCCCTCCTAGCCATCCCAGAAACTCGGTCTTTTCCCTTCAGTGACAGGCCGGAGGCGTTGTACTGATGATGGCTTATGCACCGTACCTGTCGTTCCCTCCCACTTTGGCCCAGCTTGTGCCGGCTTGAACCATATCGGAATCCTATTCCTGGCCATGGCCCCCCCAATACGCCGCTCAATATCCATTTATTCCTCCACTCTGCCCACGCCCCCAGAGTCCCAAATGGGGTGCTTTCCTGGCTAAGCTGACAGATGCCCCATCGTCGTCAGCCAATGCTGGGCGACGGCACGTTTGCGCCAGGAACACGACGCCTCGGGGAGCCACTTTCCCTCCGGTCTCTCCAGCTCGTTCAGGCCATGGCTGATGTCGTTGCTGTTTCCATCCAGTCTCTTCTCCGTTCTCTTGCCCTGGTCGTTGTTTATTCTCAGCCCCTCCACGACGTAAGAGAGTCCCCATCGTCTTCATCTATCAACTAATCTAAGTATGTGAGAAAACACCGCGCCGGGCCTATGTCCTCTTGAATTTGTTTTGTACCTACCTATCCTGATCTAGTATAAGGGGACCATCCACGCCCAACCCGACCTGCATGCCATCCATCCTCATCTGCTCATTCCCTTCCTGTTGCCTCGACCCCTCACCCATCCCTCTGCATCTCAAAAGGGAAAACGATACATCTGACCTGCATCGTCCTGCCTTCCCTTGCCTGGACTCAACACCCCAATACTGCACAGTAGAGAAGCCGTCCTGTACCCTGCTTCCGGCTGGGCTTCTGTTATCGTTCTAGTCCCTTACTCACGTGTCCTGCACCACCTCCCTCATCCAATCTGGAGCATAGGGTAGCAGTTCTCGACCCTTGAGGCCACTCCAGTCTACGGATACACAAAGATACATTCGCACGAGAGGCTCACAACTACGCTACCGCTGCGCCAAGCTCCAACCTTCCACACACCCACCCTCCATCACGCAAACTACGCACCAAGGGCACCCACCTTTCGGGCAGAGGCATCCCAGTTCCCGCCGGCTCGGACTGGACTGCAGCCATCGCTGGGCTGCTTTATCCGTGGGCGGCGTCCACCTTGTCTCTCTCGCTTCGAGCGTGACCGACTTATTATTCCTCTCCCCTGACCTACTTGTCTTAGAACTTGGGTCTCGGAAACCGTCATACACATCCTACACGCTCGTTTCCCAACCTGCTCAGGATTCTGGCCATCTTCCTCTGCGCAAGTTAGAGTCGCACAGCAATACACCCTGGCCAGATATCTTCGCTTGACCTGCCTGCTACGTTGATCCTCGAGCTGCGCTTGCGCAGTTATTTTTGAAAGGCCCGGATCTCCCTCCGCAACCAGATGGTCAACATTTATCCTTCCACTCTCCGCACTTTACCTTCGACCGGTTACTCTTGAACTCTGGAAGTTTCGCCCACCGTTTTACGCTCTATTTCACCAAGAAAACTTGCGACAAAATGGCCGCTGCCGTAGCTGAACACCCACGTTTCTTTCCTTCGCATCATGATGCGCTGAGCCACGATGATTTCGAAACAGCTTCGATCCGCTCTGCCGCGCCGTCTTATTGTAAGTTGACTCTTGTCACGAGCCAGCCTTATGTGGGACGTTGGGATGGCTTCTTTGCT